CTAACCATGGACGAGAACGGCCCGAACCCGGGCATGTTCCCCGACCAGCTGGTCAGCATGTTGATGATATCCAAGCTTTCCACAGGCCACAGCGCCCTGGACATGGCGCTGGTGGCGCTGGTACCGTGGCTCCTGCGGCAGCTGCTGCCGCACCTGCTACAAGCGCTGCAGCGCTTTTGGGACAGGATCTTCAAGGTGGGGCATTTCAACTCAGAAACTGGTGCACTTACACCTTGTGGTTGTGGTAGCACATGCAATCCTGCTTGTCTGCCGCCGCACGCGCAAAGAGCACACCCGCCTGGCGAAGGAGCCACCATCGATGTGCGCCCCCAATCCATCCACCTTGCGCCCGCACCCACTCACCGGGCACCAACCCTCCCATTTTTCTCCGCCACACAGCCTGTCGTGAGCGAGACCATGCACGAGCGCGTGATCACCTTCACCCAGAAGCAGTCTGACCGCTACTGCTGGAGCTCCAACAGCGATATCGACAAGGAGCCGCCAAACCATCTGCTGCAGGTAGGCAGGAGTGCCTGTACGACCAACCAAAAATAGCGCCCGGGCACAGCCTCAATTGTTGTCCATATGGTTCGCAGCTCTCTGCCGCCTGCCGCACGCATGACGCAGCCTGCCAACTCCAGGCGCCTTTGCATGACGCAGCCTTTTATATTGGGCACTGTGTGCTTTCAAGCAGCGAGGGCATGCAGCCGCGTGTGATTGAGATTGTCTTGTGGCGTTGCCCTGTTGCGCAGCCTCTTACCGGGCCCCGTCCCCAGCAACACCCGAAACCACCGCCTTGCCTCTGCCTCCCGACGTAGGCGGCCCTCCTGCTGCACCTCAACCGCACCGTTGACATCGCCTCAAAGACATCATCCGCGCAGGTGCAGCTGCGCCGCGTCCGCAAGCAGCCCGCCGCCGGCGCGATCGCCGGTGATGTCGTCAAGGAAGACGGCGAAGCGGCCTCCTCCGCCTCTTCGTCTTCAGGGTGCAGCTGGAACATCTGGAGCCGGCCCTCTGGCGACGAGCTGCTGCTGCACCTGGGGGTCGCCCTGGTGCCGCCCCAGGACACTTGGGTGGAGCTGGGAGACGGGCTAATGTTGAAGAGGTGCGCCGCGCGGCGCACGTGCACGTCGACGCCCTGAACAAGCAACTTGTAGCGCAAGGAATCACCCCTGCTCGTGGTAATGGAGAAGAACTGGATGGCTTTCATGAACAACCGGGGTCAGTGGCGAGCTCGGCGATGGCCGATGCTGCTTGCTGTGGCCATGATCGCCGATGGCCACCTCTTCCTCCTCATGCTGCAGAAGTGAAGAGAGCACCAGCGACGGCGGCAACGCCACCGCAAGCACCAGCGTGAAAACAACGGTGGTGCTGCTTGGGGCCACTGCGGTCCAGGTGGACGGCTTCATTGCAAGCGCCTGGGACGCCTTCCGGGAGGAGCGGTGAGGGGCGGCCCTGTGTGTGTGCCTGGAGAGGGCAGCTAGGGCACAGCGGGTTGTCCAGACCTGCTGTGGCCAATAGCATTTGTACTACACGCAGGCGCAAAAAAGATTGGCCAGACTTTGGCCGTGCAGGTGTAAGGCAAGGCAGCCAGCACGTGGCTGGGGTCGAGGCAGCAGCTTCATTCCTGGCAGCCAGCTAGCAGCTTTTGCCACCTGCAAGCCAGGCTACAAGCATCCTGCTGCCTGTGCAAACAACCCGATTCACCAGGCGCAAGAAGGAGAAGGACGAGAGTCGGTACCTTTACATGCCGGTGCTGGGCCGCGGCGGCCCCGACGGCGACAATGCGGGCAGCAGCCGCTGGACCTACAAGCGGTACGCGGGCCCATGGCAAGGCAGCAGCGCTCTGTGTGGCTTTGATCCGACCGCAATATGCACCAGCAACACGCAGTCCCCAGAGGGTTTCCTCCAACAGCTGCCCTGGCCTGCTGCAACACTCCAGTTGGTCATCAGCTGCCGGTCAATCGCCGGTCAGCGGCTGGTCGACAAACATCAAACCACCCCCACGCGCATCCCCGTACCGACCCCCGCCCCCACAGCTACCAGCTGTCCGATGACAAGTCCTTTGCGTCACTCTTCCACCCCGACAAGGCCGCCCTCCTCGAACTGCTGGACGCCTTTGCCCACGGCCGCGGCAAGTTTGCCATCCCGGGGTACCCCCAGAAGCTGGGGTTCCTGCTGCACGGCCCCCCTGGCACCGGCAAGACGTCGCTCATCAAGGCGCTCGCGGCGCACACGGGGCGCTCCATCGTGTCTGTCCCCCTGAGCCGCGTGTGCACAAACCAGGAGCTCATGGACATGATGTTTGACCAGGCCGTGGCCGTAGAGGGGCGGGTGAGTGACAGAGTCAGCGCATTGACAAAGAAAGCACTCTTGCCTGTCAGCGGGGAGCGCATCTGGGCTGCCGAGTGGGCATGGGCCGTCGAGGTCCATGTATTCTGACGGAGACGGCAGCAGGCAGCAGTGTTGAGCTGGGCTGTGCCCCAACGGGACGGCCCGTGCAGCTGCTTGCCATGAGCGCCCGAGCGCCTGCAGCACCACGCTTCCGACGCCCAAAGCTCACTGTGTGTCCTCGCTCATTACATTGGCAGTCCATCAGATCAGCCTTGCTTGCTGCGTCCCTCTCCGTTTGCCCTTGTCACATGGCCCCGATCCCCCCCACCAACCCACCCTGACCTCCCAGGACATGCCAGTGGCCCTGCCGTTCTCCTCTGTGATCTACATTTTTGAGGACGTGGACGCGTGCGGGGACATCGTGCAGCGGCGCGACGGCAAGACGCCCCCCGCCGCAGCCGCCGCCGCCGCGGCCGCAGAGGCGAAGCGCGCGGCCGCCGCGTGGCGCCGCAAGGGCGGCTGGGTTGGCGGGCATTGTGGCGGGGCAGACCTTGTAATCGACATCACGGCCGGCAGCTGCTCCGAGGAAGAGGAGGCCGGGGCAGGGGCCCAGGACCAGGGGGCATCGGCGGGGCAGGCCAGCGGCGGCGGCGCCGCCTCGCCCTTGCATTCACCCGGCGCCGGCGCCCGCAAGCCCGGCGCGGCGGCGGCCGCCCGGCTCGGCGCGGGTGCGGGCTGGCCGGCCGGCTTTGGCGGCGACGACGCGCTTGACCTGGCGGGCCTGCTGAACGTGCTGGACGGCGTGGTGGACACCCCCGGCCGCATCGTGGTGCTGACCAGCAACCACCCAGAGAAGCTGGACCCGGCCCTCATCCGCCCCGGCCGCGTGAACAAGAAGATCTACATGGGGCTCGTCGCGGCGCGCGAGGCTCGGCAGATGGTGGCGCACTGGTTCGGGCGCGACGCGCTGGGCGGCGCCGCGGAGGCGGCGCGGTTCGGCGCCGCGTTTGCGGACGGCGCGCTGTCGCCGGCGGCGCTCGAGGCGATGTGCGCGGAGCACGAGGGGGTTGGGGGCCTGCTGACCGCGCTGGAGGCGCACCCCTCGCTGGCTGCTGCGCGCACGGCGCGCAAGGCCGACGCTGCGGCTGTCTAAGCTTGCGGGCCGAGGGACTTTGCTTGCGCATGTAGCTACAAATCAACAACTGCGAGGCTCCTCATGATCCATTTCAAGATTGATATCCATGCAAAAAGAGTCACTCATTTTTTCCACGCTTATGTTGGTCATGCTGACATTAGAATGGCCGAGGCACCTCGTGTTTGCCTACCCAGGCCCAAAATGTAGTGGTGCTTTGTACAGGTGTGTGCTCGTACACAAAGTGTATGTGAGCGAAGATTTGACACAGCTGCGCTGCACAAGCTGCACCCCCTGGAAGCACCTTGCAGTGATGCAATGAGCATGAACACTCCGCGATTTCTTAATTGACGCACGCACTTGCTTTTGTGCTCCTACCATGTGGCCGCTCCACTCGCCTGTTCACACACCCACGCCCACGCCAACCCATGCGGCAGCATCACCTGCAGCAAGCGAGTTGCCGCCACGCAATTCAACCCCCCATTTCATCGAACATTTTGCCAATTGGAGGTTGTTACCCTTGAACAACGTAAGCGAATAAAACTTGTGGGCAGAGCCTGTTCTCTCCTGCTTGTGCAGCAGCTCAGCAATCGGCTCAGCCTGCAGCAGCTCGCCTTGCCAACTTTACCCGACCAAAGTCGATGCTGCAGAGCAGCATGAGAGGGGGCATCAGAGGTCATGGTCGAAGCTTGTGAATTCATGCCCAGGGTGCATGTGCATGACGGCAGTTGGCAAGAGCCACACTCACAAAACATGTCACAGAACGGCGGTGGTACAACTGGTTGGAACAGGGAGCAATGCAGCAGCTGAACCAGAAGGGTGCCTCAGGACAAGCAGGCAAACAAAACACAGCGGCGTGATGGAGGAAACCAATAACGCAGCCGCCCTCCGGCAACAAACGGGCGCCGCCCACTTGTAGCTGCTCACTGGCCGCCCCGCGCCCGCAGCAGCGCGATGTAGTTGACCCCCAGATCATCGGTCAGCACGAACCGCCCGCCTCGCCGCAGCGGGTCCAGCCCCATGCCCGCGACCTGCTCGACTTCCAGCCCGGCATCGGAGGCCATCAAGGCCAGCTCCTGGGGCGTTATGAACTTGCTCCAGTCGTGGGTGCCGCGCGGCACGAGGCCGGTTACGTACTCAGCGCCCACTACCGCCAGCGCAAACGCCGCCGGCGTGCGGTTGAGCGTGCTGATGACGACGCGCCCGCCACCTCGCCCGCCGCCACTACCCCCTCCGCCGCTGGCCCCATCTCCGCTGCCGCCGGCGCCTGCGAGCGCGGCGAGCGTCTTCAGAAACTCACCGGGGGACCGCACATGCTCAATGACCTCGGACGCCACGACAACATCGTACGCGACCCGCCCCTCCGCGGCCGCCGCGGCGAGCTCGTCTTCCGCCGAGCAGCGGCGGTAAGCGACGCGCGACGCAATCAGTGGGTCGCCCGCCGCGTGGGCGGCGGCGGCGCCGACCGACTCCTCGGAAAGGTCGATCCCTCGGACCGCCGCGCCCATGCGGGCCAGCGGCTCAGCCAGCAGCCCCCCGCCGCAGCCGACGTCGAGCGCCCGCAGGCCGGCCAGGGGCTCGCCCGCGGCGGGGTCGAGGCCGCGGGACGCGCAGAGTGCGCGGCGGATGAACAGGCAGCGCGCGGAGTTGAGCGCGTGCAGCGGTGCAAAGGGGCCAGAAGACTGGTCCCACCAGCTGTCGGCCAGGGCGGCAAACTTAGCCACCTCCCGGGGGTCAACGGACCTGCCACGCCGCCGCTGCTGCTGTTGCTGCTGCTGTTCTTCGCCGCTCTGCCCTTCGCCTGCGCTGCTACTGGATGGGACATCCGCCGTAGCAGTGGTGTGGTGCCGGAGCGGCGAGCGCGCGAACGGCGGCGACGACCGGTGCTCCTGCAGGAGCCGCCAGCCACAGCCACGGATTGCAAAATCAGGAGTCCGAGAGCCACCCCCATGGCTGTTAGTGCTGCTGCTGCTGCTCGTGCTGGTGCTTCCTCTACCACTGGCGGTGCTGCTGCTTCTGCTGGTAGTCTGTGAGGGGCGCTGGGAAGACGTGCTGCTGACCCTGCCGCTCCGCTCCAGCCCGTGGCCATGGCCACCGCCCCTGGCAGCGCAGGACGATGCAGCATGCGCATCTCTGTCCATCGCGGCGGCGTGGAGCAACCTCAGCCTGCGACAAATACAATGGAAAGGTTGCTTGTCAGCTGAGGAGGGCGCAGGAGCGCGCAGGGCCAAGGCAAGGCCACGGTGACCTGCAAGCCTGGAGCGATGCGCACCCGTCCCAGGAGGAGCGCCGAGCTGACGCTGCCAGCAGCCAGCTTGCTGCTCGGTGGGCTGGCGCATACGTCATTGATGCACAGTCAAGCACTGCTTTTTGGAACGTTGGAGCGCGCGGCTGATGCTCAATAAAGCAATAGGATTGAGTGATCCACAGCTGAGATCGCGAGGACGTGCGCGAACGCTTTTTTTAATTGAAGAGTCTTTCAACAAACAGTCAATAGTGGCCTTGGACTGCGGCTGTGTCGCGAGTTACATTCTCTCGGCCTTCACACCTGCAGCTGCTCGTGCTGCTGCTGTTCAGCGTGGTTGTCAGTGGTGCAGGGCCAAATCGCCTCTAGGTGCGGTCTTTGTATCAGACGCAACGTGGTCCTTTTCCTGTATGTAGCATACTTCGCCCGTGCCTCCCACACATACGAACAGTTTGCTGACGGGCCCCAGGCAAGCACCGATCAGGGCGGCCTTTGACGCGTGAATCAGCTTGGTGAAAGTGAAACATTTTGTGCGCATCAACCTACCAGCAAGAGCGGCGCTCCGCGCGACCTTCATCAGCGCGAGGGGCGCCCGAGGCGTGGGCGTCTCGCGACCCAGCGCGCGTGCGCGGTAGGTAGAAGCGGCGCTTCAGAGATGGACCTGTTCAGAAAGAAGCCCACCATGAAGGAGCAGGTCAGAGAGTCGCAACGCGGCATCACCAAGGGCGTTCGAGGTGCGGACCGGGCGGGCCTGGCGTCTTATCTTTACTCAGCACGCAGCGCAGCCCACCTGCCGCATGCATGTGGCCGGGCCCTTGAGCGCTGTTTGTGCATGCAGCTGTTGCTCACAAGAGCAACTTGCTTGCGCATCGTTGGATGGGACGCTCTGCTTCAGCTTTGACAGGCGGGGCGCCATCATCCTTGTACCCCTCAAAAGCACACACGCGATTCCCCCTGGCGACGCGGCTGCTTGACTTGGACGCCCCTGTCCCCCTACGGCATGCAACGCGCCCGCACGTGCAGAGATCGACCGCGAGCTGCTGGCCCTGAAGCGAGAGGAGGACAAGCTGATCCGCGAGATCAAGGCGGCCGCAAAGGGCAACAACCAGGCCGCCACCAGGGTGCTGGCCAAGAGCCTCGTGCGGCTGCGCGCGCAGATCACCACGCTGCAGGCCAGCGCCGCGCAGCTCAAGGGCGTCGGCCACAACATCACGGTGCGCAGGACTTGGGGCGCGGCGCGGTGCAGCCACGGTGTGCCTGGGCGTCGCAAGGGGGCGGGCCGGCGGGCGGCTTTTGACGGCGGACGTGCGCACAAAGCGGCTGGCTGCCAATGTGGGCGGTAGGGACGCTGCGAGATATGCTGCAATCGATAGTTCTGCAATCGGAGGGCTGTAATTGGTAGTCACAAGCAGGTCAGCGGCACCGGCGCGCCCCAACAGTCTCACGTTCAGCCTCCCCTTTCCCTGGTACACATCCTTTATAAACCCCCCAACCTGCCCCCTCAGACGGCGGCGGCCACCGCGACAGTCTCGTCGGCGGTGGGCCACGCGTCCAAGGCCATGGGCGCGCTGCAGCAGCAGATGGACCCCGTCAAGATGCAGCGGCAGCTCGCGGCGTTTTCGCGCGAGAACGAGCGGCTGGACATGGTGGGGGAGATGGTGGGGGACACGCTGGACGCAGCGCTGGACGGGGAGGAGACGGAGGAGGAGACCGGGGAGCTTGTCAGCCAGGTGGGGGGCCTGGGTGATGGTGGGGTTGCCCTTGAGGGCTGGATAGGGGGAATGGGGAG